CCCCCCGCCGACGCGGCCCCTCCCCTTATGGTACTCGCTCCGCCCGCGCCGGTTGCGGCCCCGCCCCCACTGTTCCTAACGCCACCTCCGTGCGTACGTCTACACGCATGCGCAGGTCCTAGCGCATGCGCAAAGGAAACTGAACGTCCTCTGGAAATCTTTCAATGTTTGGGGTGAATTGTGAAGTATTTCTAAATGCAGTAAGACTTTGGTTTTGCCAAGAAAGGCGTTCAAAGCTATCAGCCTCTTATAGGCTATGGTCATGCCTAGGGTTCTGTTTATATACCAAGAATTTGCTGTTAAGCTTTTTGCGGCAGTTTTAAAACTCAGGTTTACATTCTTATTTGAAGTATCGGTGCTGTGTTTGAAATGTAACAGATATCACCATATTTTACTTTCCCTTTCGAGATGCACATCAGATATTTGCAGCTTTCCACATGCACAGTAACTGGCTGTATAATAATTCCTCTTTGTGACTTTTTGTGAAAATAGTAACAGCCGGTCCAATTCATTGATGATACTTAGCTATTGGGGTGGCTGTTATCAAAAACGTGGAAAATATCGATGAAGATGTGTCGAAGAAACTGAAGCTCTTGTGCATTGCTGAAGGGAACATCAAATATGATAGCAGTGGAGAGTCCCGTGATCCTACAGATAGTAAAACATGGAAATATATGATCGAGCAATTATGTCTCTGGATATATCCCCAAAGAAATGAAAAAGGGACTCAAACAGATCTTCACACACTGAGGTTCATAGCAGCGTTATTCACAATAGACAAAAGAGAAAGAAACCAGATGTCTACGGATGAATGGTGAGTAACATGTGTAGTGTATATCTACAATGAAATATTCAGCTTTAAAATGAGATGAAATTCTGATCCATGCTACCACATAGATTGGTCTTGAAAACATTATGCTAAATGAAATAAGCCAGATATAAAAAGACAAATGTGGTCTCACCCATATGAAGTATCTGAAATAGGCAAAGTCATAGAAACAAAGTAGGATAGTGTTTGCTAGTGTAAAGGGGAAAGGCAAAAGGCAAACTTGTATTTACTTTTAAGAAATTGCAAGTTACCTTTGGTTTGTTCAAAGTATTGGCTCTACTCCTAAATGACCAAACTGCTTATTGTCAAGGGCTAGTTACCAAGACAAGTTCTATACCATCGGTGTCCTAACTGGTATGGGAGTGAATGATCCTACATGCCATTAATCAGACTAGAAGGAAATGGAGTTGTTTCTTGAAAACCCCCAGAGCTCTGCTGAGAATGCAGACAGTGAAGTCACTGAGGAGGACAGGCTGCGGTGGACTGAGCTCTGATGGCCAGATCTTTCTGGAAACACTTCAGTCTCTAGGCCTGCATGCCCAAGAGAGGGCTAGATGGCATTCAGAGCCAGGGGAGAAGAGGGCCCATGCTCCTAGGAGAAGCCACTTGGAAATGCCCCAGGCAAGGCTTTAAGTACTTATCATAGTCACTTTCCCATCACTGGACACAATGCCAACACCCAAAATTTAAAGAACGAGAGGCTTATTCCTGCTCACGTTTTCATAGTATTCATCCCCCTGTCGAGTGGCTCTGAGGCAGGAAGGGTATGGTGGCGGAAAACTGCTCACGTCATGCCAGCCAGGAACCTGAGAAGGAAGGGAAGGGCTGGGGTGGGGAGACACAGGCTTCCAGGTCACATCTCAGTGACCCACTTCTTCCAGGCCCCACCTAGCAGCACATTCAGCTCGGACTCCACTGGTGAATGTGGCACCCCTGACCCAGTCACCTTCCCAGTGCCCCACCTCTGAACTCATGAGGCTCCTGGGGGACGTTGTACATCTAAACCATAACAGTGCTACTCTTAGAACTCCGTTCACTGGGCAGAAACCTTACCAGACACCACCCACTGGTTTCAAGATAGGGAAAATCACGATAGATATTGTGATGATGATGATCATTATTGTTGATGATAACAGTAACAGCTGGCATTCATGGCACTTACAGTGGTGAGGAGCAAGACTTGTCATAAAGAAACTCCATGAAACTTTACTGTTCCTGCCTCTCACTAGCAAGGCTCTAAGAGGTGAGGAACTTGATTCAAGGTCATCCTGCAAGTTTTTTTCCCATGAAGTTTATTGGTACATTTAAAGCAAACAATATAGTTACATTTATAATTGGGATCTTGTACCTTTACATGATATATCTTGGTTCTTGTTTTTTCCCAATACCCCTGCCCTCCCTTTACCCCCTTCACCCTTCCCTATTTACAAAGACTTTGCTTCCATTTTTTCACATTTTTTTCTTTTCCCTTATTTTCATTCTCCCCTTCCCTCTTCCCCTTTAGATATTTTCTTCCTATTTCACCCTCTCAATTATACCATTTGAACCTTATTTATACTTTTAGTTTTTCACACCAGAGAAACTATTTGGTATTTACTCAAGTGTGTCCTCTTTATTTCACTTAAGAGTATGGCCTCAATGTGCATCCATTTAACTATAAATGTTTCCAGTGTTTCGTTCTTTCTGGCTGAGTAGTACTACTTTTTTATAGAAAAACCACTTCTTTATCCAGTCTCAGTTGATGGGCATTTGGGTTTCCAAGATTTAGCTATTACAAACTGTGGGTACACATATATTACTGTGGTATGATTCTTTTAATTCTTTTGAAAAGATACTCAGCAGAGGGATAGCTGGTTCAAATGGAACTTCTACTCCTAGTTCTTTGAGGTATCTCCATGTTAATTTCCACAGTGGTTGCACCATTCTGTACTCCCACCAACAATGGAGAAGGGTTCCTTTCTCCCCACAGCCCTGCCAGTATTTGTTTTTGGTTAATTTCTTGATAGCAGCCATTCTTTCTGGGATGAGGTGGAATCTCAGTGTTGTTTTCATCTGCATCTCGCAAATGACTAGTGATGTTGAACATTTTTTCATATATTTATTTTCTGTCTTTACTTCTTTGTCTGAGAAATGTCTGTTCACTTCATATGCCCATTTTCGATTCGGGTCTTTGTATTTGGGGGGGGTCTAATTTTTTTGAGTTCTTTATATATTCTAGATAGTAGTCCTTTGTCTGAGTAGTAGCTGATAAAAAATTTTTCCCACTTTGTACGTTGTCTCTTAGCTCTGTTGGTGATTTCTCTTGCACTGCAAAAAATTTTTAAGACAATGAGATCCCAGTTGTTGATTTTTTTTGTGCAAGTTCTTGTGCTGCTGAGGATTTGTTCATAACGTCTTCTCCTATGCCAATATCTTTGAGAGTTCTACCTATTTTACTTTCCAGTAAGTTTAATGTTTCTGTTTTGATATTTAGATATTTAATCCACTTGGATTTTAGTTTAGTGCCTGGTGAAAGATAGGGATCTAGTTTTAATCTTCAGCAAATTGAAAGCTAGTTTTTCCAACATCATTTATTAAAGAGGCTATCTTTCCAGCAGGGAGGATGGTTGGCTCCTTTGTCAAGGATGAGGTAGCTGAGTGTGTCTGGTGTTGTTTCTGCATCTTCTAATCTATTCCATTGATCCTCAGGTCTGTTTCTTTGCTAGCACCATGCTGTTTTATCACAGTGGCTTTGTAGTGTAGTTTCAAGTTGGGAATTGTGATACCCTGTGCTGTGACTCTTGCCTAGAATGGTTTTTGCTATTCTAGGTCTCTTCTGGTTCCAAATTAATTTTTGAATTGTTTTCTCAAGTTCTGGGAAATATACTGTTGGGATTTCAATTGGGATTGCATTGAATCTGTATAGCAGTTTTGGAAGTACAGCCATTTTCACTATGTTCATTCTTCCTACCAGGAGCAAGGGATGTCTTCATCTTTTTTTTTTTGTTTTTGGTACCGGGGTTTGAACTCAGGCCTTTGCACTTGTGAGGCAGGTGCCAGAACCACTAAGCTAAATCCCTGGCCCCTTCATCTTCTTATATCCTCTTGTATCTCTTTTTCAAAGTGCTGTAATTTTCAGTGTAGAGGTCTTTTTTCCTCCTTCATTATGTTGATTTCTAGATATTTCATTTTTTTGGATGCTATTGTGAAAGAAATGTTTCCCTAATTTCTCTCTTTGAGTCTATTATTTGTGTACAACAAGGCTATCGATTTTTGAGTGTTGACTTTGTATCCAGCTACTCTACTGAATCTGTCAATTAAGGTCTAGCTGTCTTTTGGTAGAGTTATTTGGGTCTTCTATGTAGAGCATCATATCATCAGCAAATAGTGACAGTTTTAAGTTCTTCCTTTCCTATATTTATTCTTTTCTCTTGTCTAATTGCTATGGCTAATGTTTCTAGAACTATATTGAACAGGAGTGGTGATAGTGGACATCCTTGTCTTGTTCCTGATTTTAGCATGAAGGTTTTTAGTTTTTGACCATTTAGTATGATATTGGCTATTGGTTTTTCATAGATAGCCTTTATCAGGTTGAGATAAAGACCATTATTCCAATTTTCTGTAGGATTTTTATCATGAATGAGGGTTCAATTTTGTTGAATGCTTTTCTGCATCTGTTGAGATGATCATATGGTTTTTGTCCTCGTGTTGATATAGTGTATTACATTTATTGATTTACGTCATCCTGCAAGTTTGAGGGTGGACTTGTGTGTTGGGCCTGACTGTAGATTCTAGGTCCTTAATTGCTACCCATATTTACACACTGGCTCTCAGAAATAAGGAAGGGTGTATCCCAACTCTTAACGCCCTTCTGAAATCTGGACTGTGGCCCTTTACAGCCTCTGTTGAGATTCCTGGGTTTCTTCAGCTTTCCCCAGTCTATTTGTATTACTTCCAATTTTCTTCCTCCCTTGGGTGAGCATCAGTCTGAGTAGCCAGGTAGTCAGG